ATACTGTATATCGCTATTATTTATTATGGCTGATAACATGTTCACAGACAAGTGGAAGCGATGAGATCTGGGGCAAGTTCAAGCTCAAACGTTTTGCTACGGTTTCAGGTTTAAACGACATGTTTCCTGGAAACGGTGTGCAACAGGGTTTGAGATGCGTTTTCTCTTGTTTGGTGGGTGTGTCAAACATGTCAGCCCAATCAGCAGCAACATGTATGTAAACCACGCGGTATTAAAGAGACAGCTGGCACAATGTGATTAGCATCCAAATAAATTCACAAGAGCAAGTATATTGTTTGCACATGTTTATTTACATTAAAGGCAAAATAACTGAAATAATAAGAGCACAAGTATAGATCTGGAACTTCTTTGAGTCTGTCTAAATATCATTTAATTGCAATGTCTTCTGGTCCTTTCCTTAGGAAGGTGTGCTAAATACTGATTAATGTAACATAAAAATACTATACATATTTATATATTTTGCTATTGTATTATGGAGTGACACTTTCATAAACTTTTCTTTAGTTATACCGATTTCATCAGGCTCCGAAAATTCTCCAAAAAGAACACAAAGAATGGCTTTCTCAGCTGCCATATTTGCAACTCTTGCGTCATCAGAACAGGGTGTTCAACGCACCACCGTTCAGTTTAAAAAACGTTTTGCACTGTTTTGTCGGGGCTGAACGCAGCCCTGTTTTCCGGGTTTGGTCAGGTGACGTTCGACATATACCCTATTTAATTTTGAACTAGTTGCAGCAAAATAGAAGAGAAAAAAGAAAAAGGAGGTTACAAATAAATTCTTTAGAACAAATAAAACAATTTGACTTTACCATTTTCCTTTTGTGCACCCATGGAACAGCATGTGTCCATTATAGGCCATTGGAAGTTAGCAGTATATTCTGAAATATATATATATATATATATATATATATATATACACTGTATAGTATATATACAGTATATATGTGTAGTAAATCAGTAAGATCCTTTACAAAATAAATTAATACTTTTATTCAGCAATAACTGATCAAAAGTTACAATAAAAACTTTTATACTGTTTTATACTGTTTTTATAAAAATTATTATTATTATTAATATTATTATTATTATTAAACAAATGCTGTTCTTTTGAACTTTCAAAGAATCCTTAAAAAAGTATTACGGTTCCCACAAAAATATTGATAATAACAAGATGATAATAAATGTTTGCTGTAAAACTGTAAAATGAGCAACAAGACATTCGAATACATAGGGAACACAATCAAATTCAGTTCTTTAAAGCCATTGGTGCACATTTATCATCAGATGTATCAGCTAAATGCTGGCAGATCATTTGCGTATACTTTGTGTACTTCAGCAACCTCACAGTACATACACTGAAAAGTAGATATTTATAGCAGAGCACGTGAATATGTACGGTTATATATTATAGATGAAACAATGCATATTTTATACCCAGGCATGTTAATTGAGCTGCACAAGCAATACGAGGCATGTGAAGTGCTGGTTGTGTCGCAGCTGTCAGTATGATGACAGAATACATTTTTAAATAAAGTTTTAAATAGGGTTATATAACAGCAAAGTCATACTGTAGTTTTCATCACTATATTTCATTAAAGGAACAGTTCACTAAAAAAGAGAATTTGCTGAGAATTTAGTCCAAGATGTAGATGAGTTTGTTTCTTCATCAGAACAGATTTGGAGAACTTGAGCATTACATCACTTGCTCACCAATGGATCCTCTGCAGTGAATGGGTGCCGTCAGAATGAGAGTCCAAACAGCTGATAAAAACATCACAATAATCCACAAGCAATCCACATGACAGTCCATCAATTAACATATTCTCAAGCAAAAAGCTGTGCGTTTGTAATAAACAAATTCATCGAGATGTTTTTAACTCCAAACTGTTGCCTCCTGCTAAAGTACAAGTCCTCCATCCATAATATTTCTTTCTCCATTGAAAAAGTAATCTCATCTGAATCAGGAGAGAAATATGCACTTAATTTTGAACTAGTTGCAGCAAAATAGAAGAGAAAAAAGAAAAAGGAGGTTACAAATAAATTCTTTAGAACAAATAAAACAATTTGACTTTACCATTTTCCTTTTGTGCACCCATGGAACAGCATGTGTCCATTATAGGCCATTGGAAGTTAGCAGTATATTCTGAAATATATATATATATATATATATATATATATATACACTGTATAGTATATATACAGTATATATGTGTAGTAAATCAGTAAGATCCTTTACAAAATAAATTAATACTTTTATTCAGCAATAACTGATCAAAAGTTACAATAAAAACTTTTATACTGTTTTATACTGTTTTTATAAAAATTATTATTATTATTAATATTATTATTATTATTAAACAAATGCTGTTCTTTTGAACTTTCAAAGAATCCTTAAAAAAGTATTACGGTTCCCACAAAAATATTGATAATAACAAGATGATAATAAATGTTTGCTGTAAAACTGTAAAATGAGCAACAAGACATTCGAATACATAGGGAACACAATCAAATTCAGTTCTTTAAAGCCATTGGTGCACATTTATCATCAGATGTATCAGCTAAATGCTGGCAGATCATTTGCGTATACTTTGTGTACTTCAGCAACCTCACAGTACATACACTGAAAAGTAGATATTTATAGCAGAGCACGTGAATATGTACGGTTATATATTATAGATGAAACAATGCATATTTTATACCCAGGCATGTTAATTGAGCTGCACAAGCAATACGAGGCATGTGAAGTGCTGGTTGTGTCGCAGCTGTCAGTATGATGACAGAATACATTTTTAAATAAAGTTTTAAATAGGGTTATATAACAGCAAAGTCATACTGTAGTTTTCATCACTATATTTCATTAAAGGAACAGTTCACTAAAAAAGAGAATTTGCTGAGAATTTAGTCCAAGATGTAGATGAGTTTGTTTCTTCATCAGAACAGATTTGGAGAACTTGAGCATTACATCACTTGCTCACCAATGGATCCTCTGCAGTGAATGGGTGCCGTCAGAATGAGAGTCCAAACAGCTGATAAAAACATCACAATAATCCACAAGCAATCCACATGACAGTCCATCAATTAACATATTCTCAAGCAAAAAGCTGTGCGTTTGTAATAAACAAATTCATCGAGATGTTTTTAACTCCAAACTGTTGCCTCCTGCTAAAGTACAAGTCCTCCATCCATAATATTTCTTTCTCCATTGAAAAAGTAATCTCATCTGAATCAGGAGAGAAATATGCACAGATCAAGCACATTTTACAAGCGCAAACAGTCCAAAACAGTTCTAAATAAATATGTTGGTGGGTTTTGATGTGAGAGGACAACAGGGGGTGGACTTTTCAACTGAAGAAAGCGTTTTTATGGATTATGGACTCATATTTTGGCCAGAAGCAATGGTTTAAAGTTAAAACGTCTTAATAATGGATTTGTTTTACTATAAACACTCAGCTTTCCACTTCACAAGACGTTAATTGATGGATTGAAGTCACGTGGATTGCTTGTGTATTATTTTGATGTTTTTATCAGCTGTCTGAACTCTCTCATTCACTGCAGAGCACTGGTGAGCAAGTGATGTAATGCTAAAATCTTTTACAATGAAGAAACATACTCATCTACATATTGGATGGCCTGAGTCAACTATTCATTTAAGTATGAATTAAAAGTCTGTTCATCAGCAGCCATCGTGTTAAGCTATTTTCTATGTGGGTAAAAAGTATACAGGTACATCTCCTGTCTATGTGAAACAAATAAAAATACTTTTTCATTAAGAATACATGTCCTGAAACACAGATGAGGTTTCTGTTATGTAATGCATCCAATCAGCCTATTTAAAGATTGTAATGTAAAAATTACACTTATATGTCCATTATTTGATTGAACACTTAAAGGGTTAGTTCACCCAAAAATGAAAATTAAGCTGCGTTTTACTCACCCCTGAGGCATCCTAGGTGTAAATGACTTTCTTCTTTCAGACGAATCCAGTCGGAGTTATATTAAAAATTGTCTTTGATCTTTCAAGCTGTTTCATGGCACTCAGCGGGTGTTGCATTGCTTCAGTCCAAAAGAACTTATATAAAAAAAATCGCCCATCCATAAAAAAAAGTGTCTCACATGGCTCCTGGGGTGAACAAAGGCCTCCTGTAGCGAATCGATGTGTTTTTGTAAGAAAAATATCCATATTCATTTTTGGGTGAACTAACCCTTTAAGGGTTTACTTATATTCCTCTGGTGTAACCCTCAGTTATTCAAGCTCTGACAGAAATCTAAAAAAAAAGCAAACTTACACAATTTACTACCATTTGGAAGAAACCGTTTTTTGCAAATATGCAAAATAATTGCCTTATTTTGTATTGATAGTGAGAGGTAAAACGTTTGTTACGGGGCTGACGAGACGTGAGACTTGCGGATCCATGTGCAAGCTTTATTTGATAAAGACAGAGACGTGGTCATACAGCAGGCCTGGGTCAGAAGAGGGCAAACAGGTATATGGTGGGCAAAACACAAGAATAGTCCTAGGGCTAGCGCAGGTAGACGATCGGCAGACAGAATCAAAAGGGGCAAGACAAAAGGGGTGAATCCAGGGAACCAGGCGAAGATCAGAAACCGGGAAGGCTAAGGCTAAGGCTAATGACTAGGGCTAGGGCTAAGGCAAATGACTAGGGCTAAGGCTAAGGCTAAGGCAACAAACGAGGGCTCTGTAGAGTCGCTATCTCTAGGGGAGTGATAAATGCGGAACAATACTCGGCAGAGGGAAGGGATAAGAGTGAGTGTTATATAGTGAGGGAGTGATATGAAACAGCTGGGTGCAATCAGTGTAAACAGGTGTGTGCAATTCGTGCTGAGTGCAATCAGTAATGCATGATGGGAAATGTAGTCCGGGGTGCTATGCAACAGTTTGTGTGGTGCGAGAGTCAATGAAAAGGAAAGTTCATGGACCGGATTCGTGACAACGTTAACCCTTGTGACATTTCAAAAACAAATCTAAGTGCTGATTAAGAACGTTTTGACCCAAAGACCTCATACTTTCTTTCATAACAGAACATTCTTTCGCTCTCAATGTGATCTGCAGAGATCCAAACAGCTTACCTTAACAATCACTGCAATGCCGCATGTGGCCTTGGGTCTGTGAAAAAAAAAATGCTTTTCATGGCATGGTAACTATTTTTCAATTAATTCCCATCCACAGACATATTCAACCCAGCAGCATTCATGTGAATAGCAATCTGTACCCTTGTGACCTGAGAGAGACTTTACATAATCTCTCTAGATGTTTTGCGACAATGCAGAGGAGCAGTGGAAGGAGGATAGAAGAATTCACTGCAGTCGCGTTTGCTGAAAACACACAGGCTCAAGGCTGAACTTCAAACTGAATACAGAAAATAAGATGTTAGGGTAAAGAAGCACGAATGCACAAAATCGTGACTTTTAGGTTCATGGTAGAACTTGTATAGCCAAAATGCATACAGTGGGGCAAAAAAGTATTTAGTCAGCCACCAATTGTGCAAGTTCTCCCACTTAAAAAGATGAGAGAGGCCTGTAATTTTCATCATAGGTATACCTCAACTATGAGAGACAAAATGAGGGGAAAAAATCCAGAAAAATCACATTGTAGGATTTTTAAAGAACTTGAGATGAAATTTTGTTATTGACCAAATGCTTATTTTTCCACCATAATTTGCAAATAAATTCTTAAAAAATGTGATTTTCTGGATTTTTTTTTTTTTTTCTCATTTTGTCTCTCATAGTTGAGGTATACCTATGATGAAAATTACAGGCCTCTCTCATCTTTTTAAGTGGGAGAACTTGCACAATTGGTGGCTGACTAAATACTTTTTTTCCCCACTGTATATGCTAAAACACATAACAAAATAGAAGGCATGAAAGTCAACAACAAATTAAATCCAAACAAATAAAATCAAACACAAAAAAAGCTGCTCCAATAAAGGCAGAAGGAAAGGCTGTATATAAATATATATAGAAAGTGATTCATAACGGTTTTTTTTTTAAATTTCCCAGTGGCTCTGTTCATTTTTTGTTTGGGGTATACATTTGTTTGTAGAACATTTTGGCAAAGTACAAACACGCACATACAGTACAGATAAGTGTCAAAGCTGCTGACGAAGAACACAGTGTCCAATAGATGACAGGTGTTTGCTGTAGCTCTGACGTCTGAAACATCCTCGCTATCCTGAACTTCCTAAAGACACCAGGGGCCTGTACCATGAAGCCGGATTAGCTGGCTAGCCAGGTAAGTTTCAGTTTAGTTTGCACCAATCCTGGGTTTTAGGTACCATGAAAGTGGCTTGGCTTTTAGCTGTGTTCATTGCCATGGTAACTTACACTCCACGGCTAACCTGCTCCGGGGCAGGTTATGTTCTGAGTTAGAGATCTCAAACTGAAATTGGACCAATCAGATGTGAGAAGTTACACATGTCTGACACAAAAAAGTCACTCCCCCAGTTTCTCTTGCTCCAAATTAAAGGTCACTACACTCTTAAAAATAAAGGTGCTTCACGATGCCATAGAAGAAGCTTTTTTGTCTAAATGGTTCCATAAAGAACAGATATAAGATATAAAAAGATAAGAAAGAGATGGTTCTTTAAAAAACCTTTGACTGAATGGTTCTTTGTGGAACCAAAAATGGTTCTTCTATGGCATCGCTTGAAGAACCTTTTGAAGCACCTTTATTTTTAAGAGTGTAGTACTAAAAAAATTGTTTGGCTTTAATGATAATTACTTAAGTTATTTTATATTATTTATATTATTATTAATCCATTACACACAAGCAATTTTAGTTTAACAGTTATTATAAATCATTTATTTTAAATGAATGTTAATATATACAGATCGTATGTAATATAAATAAGCTGTAGAACCAATAGATAACGCTTTTTAAAAATGACTACGTGGCCTTATGTTAGTCTCTATCGCTGTATATTTCCTACTATATAAACTATATTATATAAACTATATATAACACAAGTTTCACTTGTGACTGAGCAAGTTAATTTCTTTTATTTGTCCTCTTTCATGAACAAGTACTTTTTCATTGTAAATGCATTTAAATTCATCATATTCTTCAATCTCTTAACCTTTAGCAAAACCTTTAAGCTTTAACCAAAGCTCGTGATTGGCTGTTCGCCAGTGATGTCACACATTCATGTGCACGCGCTCCACAAACTCAGGATCAAAGCTTGAGTTGACAAAGAAAGTTGATGATCAGCATCATAGTACCAACAAAGCCGGATTGGAGTGGTTTGGTTTTGTCAACTCGAAACTAATCCTGTAACTCTGAATTTGTTCATCTACCATCATGGTACAGGTCCCAGCACTCTGACGAAAAAAAACAAAAAACAAACAAATACTCTGGTCTCAAGAAGGATTGAGAACAATCCACAAATAGAGCACAGCTGTAGAAAGACGGACAGCTCACTGTTCAGATTTTAGACCAGATCTTAATTTATACCACATATTTACTGTCAGTGGTATGATTTTACTAGAGATGCAAAAATGCAGGCATTAATTTAGACAAAACAGGGACAGATAACCTAATAAATTAATTTGGCACTCTCATCTTTACCCTACCTCTGTATGCTGTCTGCAAAAGCAGAATCTTTCAGGTTTTGGACACAGATATGCATAAACAAAGATCAACAACACCTGAACAATCAATGGAGGAATGATGAACTGACAAGACAAGAGCTTCAAAACTACACTTTAAAATAAAAGCACACCAATTAAACAGAAATGGAAAGACAAAGACTACCAAAACATTTATACCTGTGCAAAACTAAGTTAACTATAGGGTGTTCTAAGTGGTCGTTAGAAAGTTGCTAATATGTTCTGCCTAGTTGTTACAGGGTTGTCATTGTTGTTTGGCCCCTGTATCTGTGATATACTAATTTGGTATGATATGCTTGACCCTTTTTAATACATGTTTAAAGGATTTTTGTTTGGTTTGTTTGCTTAGAAAGCAGTAGCACACTTTTTCTAAATAAGTTGGTATAATTTGTGTAGCACAAACAGTGTGACGCATCAAGTTTTGCGCAGAAAAACTGAGAAGTGCTTTTGAAAATATTGTCAAACTCAAATCACCCATAAAAATTGTTGCAAGACTTTGTCTCTCTTTCATCCCGCTCTTTCAGAGAAGACAAACAATGTGAACTGGATTACCACTCAAAGAACCGTCTACGTCTGAAGGATTCTGCTTTATGGAGCCAGCTGGCGGTACATGTAGCTCCGTCATGCGTGACTGTTCCAGAATCCCTCCACTAACAAGCTCACTGAACAGTAGCAACCCTCCATCATTCAGTTCTAGCCCTCGCCTCTCTCTCTCTTACTGGGTCTCTAACAAAGGCTGAGTGCTATGGAAACAGAGAGAGTTAAATACACTGTTTTCAAGGTGAGTTGAGATGAAGGAAAGTAGGTAGCAGCTGGTAGCAATGCAATCAAAGGCTTTCTGAGAAGTTATATTGGTGTATAGTCGTAGATGTATGTTTCAGTACCTGAATCATGTAATTTTCCCATTGAGGAAGCTGAACTGTGCTTGAAATAACGTGTTTAAGTTTGTTGGAACATAGAATGGCATTTGCAACCCATTAGTAGGACAAGACTTGATTTTAATCATCAGAGGTTTTTTGTAACTTTAATAAATAGACATTACAGAATTGAGCCTGTATAATTTAAATGTAAATTTAAACATTTGAATGAGATCAAGACAAGCAGTCAGACTGAAAAGCAGCATTGACTCAGCATTTCATGACACTGGCATTTAAGTGTTGTGTTTCTTTCCAATGTGACAACTATGACTCACTGCAGTCCACCAGAGGACAAATGTCCTCAACAAAACCTACTGATGCAAGCGATACTAACGTTGCATGTGGAAAATAACCTACAGTAGGTATATAGTGACCTCCAGTGACAAGGAAAGTGAATCTCTTCAAGTACATGCCATAAATCCCTATAGAAGAATTTATTATCAGAACACTGTCACAAGCTAGGTGACTGAGTTAATGAGGGACCGACTTGTGTAATATAGCTAATTAGCTATTTATCTGCATGCTGGCTAACATTATTCAATAGCCTGCAAGGCCTATAAGTGAAATATTTTCTTTAATTTTCTGAAATGTCAATTTCACAATTTTAATGACATTTTATCGTCATGAAAAGTGACCACATTATTATTATTATGATTATTTTAACAACTTTAAATACCCCATGTAATCTCTGAAGTGCTTGAACTGTGAAGAAAAAAGTGACAGTACTCTCTTGTGCACTGGCTGGCATATGCAAATCATATGCACATATTTGACATTTCTACAGTGAAGACAAAAAAAAAATACTTTAGCATACTTCTGGTACAACATAAATTTATTTACTAAAGGAACCATTTGCCAAACAACTGATTTGATACTAATGTGTGCGTGTGTGTGTGTGTGTGTGTGTGTGTGTGTGTACCTGGTATTTATCACGTTATGGGTATCCCCCATAAGCATAGTAATACAAGTAAATTTTGACCTTGTGGGGACATTTTTGAGGTCCCCATGAGGAAACAAGCTTATAAATCATACAGAATGAGTTTTTTTGAGAAAGTAAAAATGCACAAAGTTTCCTGTAAGGGGTAGGTTTGGTGTAGGGCAATAGAAAATACGGTCTGCACAGTATAAAAAAAATTAAGCATTTTTTCTGAAGTCTGCAGTCAACGCAGACATCTACCAGGGAATTTTAGAGCACTTCATGCTTCCTTCTGCTGACGAGCTTTATGGAGATACTGATTTCATTTTCCAGCAGGACTTGGCATCTGACCACACTGCCAAAAGCACCAAAAGCTGGTTCAATGACCATGGTGTTACTGTGCTTGATTGGCCTGCAAACTCGCCTGACCTGAACCCCATAGAGAATCTATGGGGTATTGTCAAGAGGAAGATGAGAGACACCAGACCCAACAATGCAGATGACCTGAAGGCCACTATCAAAGCAACCTGGGCTTCCATACCACCTCAGCAGTGCCACAGGCTGATTGTCTCCATGCCACACTGCACTGATGCAGTAATTCATGCAAAAGGAGGCCCAACCAAATATTGAGTATATGTACAGTAAATAAACATACTTTCCAGAAGGCCAACATTTTACTAAAAATGTTTTTTTTATTGGTCTTATGAAGTATTCTAATTGGTTGAGATAGTGAATTGGTGGGTTTTTGTTAAATGTGAGCCAAAATCATCAAAATTAAAAGAACCAAAGACTTAAACTACTTCAGTCTGTGTGCATTGAATTTATTTAATACACGAGTTTCACAATTGAGTTGAATTACTGAAATAAATGAACTTTTCCACGACATTCTAATTTATTGAGATGCACCTGTAATAATTGATACGTTTGACTCATCCAGTTTCTTAAAATTGGCTTAAAGGCTGAAATGTGAAGTTTTTATATTTATATATATTTATATAAGAATTTTATAAAACTTTTTGTTTTAGTGAAAACCCGTATCTGAACTGTGAATCATGATTTTTACAGTCATTTTACAGTTTAATATATTACCATAGACATTGCCCTACCCCACTCATATGGTATTAATTTTATTTGTGCAGGTCTTAAAAAGTCTTAAAGGGGTCATATGATGCGATTTAATTTTTACTTTCTCTTTGGAGTGTTACAAGCTCTTGGTGCATAAAGAAGATCTGTAAAGTCTCAAATCCAAAGAGATATTCTTTATAAAAGTTAAGAGTCAACCACGCCTACCTAAAACAGCTTGTTCTAACACGCCCATTCTAATTTATTGAGATGCACCTGTAATAATTGATACGTTTGACTCATCCAGTTTCTTAAAATTGGCTTAAAGGCTGAAATGTGAAGTTTTTATATTTATATATATTTATATAAGAATTTTATAAAACTTTTTGTTTTAGTGAAAACCCGTATCTGAACTGTGAATCATGAGTTTTACAGTCATGTTACAGTTTAATATGTTACCATAAACATTGACCCACACCCCTCATATGGTATTCATTTTATTTGTGCAGGTCTTAAAAAAGGTCTTTAAAAGTCAAGAAGGCGTAACTTTTATTCTCACTGTAGTATTGTTGCCGCCATGTCATGAAGAGCTGTGTGTTTCGTTGTGAAAGTTAAACTACTTTGTTTGGTTTTCCAAAAGAGTACGATATCCGCTTCGTCATGCCTAGAGCTGATCTGTGTTGGTCTCTGAGGGAATATATCAACTTAGTGCTGTGGATCGCCGGATCAGCTTTCACCGTGGACGAAGCGGA